AAAAAATAACAAGTAGAACTGTTCATGCAACATTGCACGAAGACCCGCAGAAGGAATACCAAGTTTTAAAATATTATACCCTCAACTATATTTCACACATAAATTACAATGCGCGCCGCGATGTCATGAATGTTATCATACAGATCTATCGCCCAGTCAACGGAAGTGTTTAAAAAGATTAAATAAACGAATTCAAGAAAGAACGCGCTGATAAAGAAATGTCGCCAAACTAGTAAAAAGAACGCGACGACTTAAGATAAGACTAAGACACACTGAAATCAGCAGCAATTCACGTGGGTACTGCACAAACAATATTATAAAATAAAAATGACACTATAACTAACTACATTTAATATATTATGATAAAAGTCATGTGTAGATTAGCATCTCTTTAAAACGAACACGGTCTGTCCCCAGGCAACTTTTTTTTACAACTCCTGTTAAACCTATCAAGAACTTGACACAACAGAAGGAGATCTCAAGTGACCCTGGGGTGTAACAAAATCTAAACATCTCTTGTAAGGACATCAGTGTGAAATCTGTAGTCCCTGGGGTATGAACAAGCCAACCCGTTGGACAAGGAAGAGGACCCGGGTGTTCCGTGTGTTCCGTGTGTTGACAGTTCTGAACTGGGGCTTATCGCAAGGCAAACAACTTGAAAGTGTGGAGGCGTTACTACGATCATAAATTATTATAATGCATAACGTGTGGAATTATTCAGTTCAGTTCTCGTTGGGTAAAGCACAACGCGAGATGAATTGGGTTGAGGGATTGAGGGAAGAGGGGTCAAGTAAGGCTAGTTTCTGCACAAAATGCCCCCTTTGCAGTAACGACTATTAGGATAGCGTACAAAAAAATTATATTAATATAATGTTTAATAATTAACAACACTTATTATACCTGTACTAGTAGCCGTTTTGTGCGATACGGTTTAATATATTTTTAATACGCCTGATAACATCGTAAAGCTTCGCCATGCGCGGTAAGATTGAAGAATACCGGACCAGCGGACTGACTTTGCCTGTCTCAACCTTAGGAATTCATGATTTTCCCCAGTTTTTAATATCTCTCAATGGAGAATCTCGGACCGGTAGATCTATTCATTAAAATTTTGTCAGAGACCCCCCTGAACCCCCCGCCCCACCCAGCCCATATTCTCGCGCAATAATGTATACGAGTGGTCCGGTATTCTTCAATCTTCCCGCCATAGGCTATCAAAATTACCCAAAAAAACGTCTATCTCCCATACACGACTAAGCGAAGTAGGGGGAGAGCCTTGGAAACAACATAGATGCACACTCGAAGGGCTCGCAAGAAACGCAAGAAAACAGAGGAGAGAAGTGA